CACACACACACACACACACACACACACACAAAACCCCATGTACAAATTTTGTGCACCGGGCCTCTGGTAACATATAAGAAAAATAATGAGACAGGCAATAGTGGTTATGCTAAGAGGCAAATGGAAGGAGACCCAGTGGAAGGGATTAATTTCTTGTCCTTTTTAAATTGCTGTCAGGCATCTAAGGAATTAATTTTTTAAAAATATATATATTTTATTGATTTTGTACAGAGAGGAAGGGAGAGAGACAGAGAGTTAGAAACATCGATGAGAGAAAGTCATCGATCAGCTGCCTCTTGCACACCCCCCACTGGGGATATGCCCGCAACCAAGGTACATGCCCTTGACCGGAATCGAACCCGGGACCTTTCAGTCCCCAAGCCGACGCTCTATCCATTGAGCAAAACCGGTCTCGGCTGGTATCTAAGGAATTAGTTTGTACGATAATTGTACTTCTGTTGTAATTGCTGTTGTAATTCTAAAATATCAAGGGTTGTATTACCTTTATCCCAAGCACCAAGAAGGTGATTTTTAAAATTGATTCCCAAAGGTGTGAGGTACTATTATAGGGAATGGGGGTAACACAAATCTGGGAAAATTTATAATGCCACTGTAAGGACATTCTTTGCTCAAGGCTGTGGATTTTATCACCCATCCACAGGACTGTAGACTTCAGTGCCAATAATTCTACATCAAACTCGCTGTCAATTCTTTTTTGTATAGACAAGATCTTAGTTACATCTTCCTTAACTTGTTGTACACAACTGAGAAGTTCAAACAGATTGTATCATGGATGAAGCAGTAATTCCTACAGAAGTAACACTTCCAGAGCAAAGAGTCTGTAATTAACATTCCAAGAAGTCTTTTTTGTCATTTTAAGATTTTTACCAGGTCATGTAACAATTGGTAGGTTTGATGAGATTCCCAAAGTTCGGTTAGGTGAGTATAAAACTAAGCAAATGCCAGTTGTTTTAAAATCATGAGGGAATCTTTTGGGAATGTAGAATTAATACAGTGGAATAGTGTGCAGCCTGTGCATGACACCTCATATAGATGGTTTGTTGTATTAAGACACATCTGGATGGGGCCTGAGAGAAGTACAAAAGGATCAAATACATAAGCAGTGGCAAATACTGTCTTATTGGGAGTTCCCCATAAGATATTAATAGAGTTATTTGAGCTATAGTTAAGACTATACAACTTTATAGTATATAAAATATTTAAATGCAGCAGCTAATTTCCATTGTGTGTTTCGTAGGGCCAATTGTCATGTTGTAATTGAGATCCTACAAATCCCTCTCCATGCCATGAGATGGAGTGATTAGCTTTGTGCTCAGGGCTCCACCGTCTAAGACTGCCCGGTTTGGCAGCCCCTTGGAGGACCTGTAGAATCTAACTGTCCCTAGCTCACACACACCACCCACGCCCACACTCTCCTCTCTCACACTTCTCTCCTTCCCTACCTTCCCGCCAGTTGCCATCTTGATCTTCTCTCTTAAATTTTATTTTTAAACAGCATTCTTTTTGGCTAGTGCTCTTTGCATATGTATGCAAATTTTACTTTGGACTTTACTAACCTTTGTTTAAACTTCCCTGATATTCTATGACCCTTTTATAACTTTTGCAAATAGTTAACTTTAATATTCATTTCTCTCTTTCAAAACTATTTTCTTTCTCATCCTATCTAATAAAAGAGTAATATGCAAATTGACTCACTCCAACACACAAAATGGCTGCCCTCATGTAGGCACCAGATGGCTGCCACAAGATGGCTGGCAGGGGAGGGAAGTTGTGGATGATCAGGCCAGCGGGGGAGAGCAAATGTGAGGAACCCAGGTCTGCAGGGGAGAGCAGTTAGGGTGACCAGGCCTGCAGGGGAAGACAGTAAGGGCAACCAGGCCTACAGGGGAGGGCAGTTGGGGACAGTTGGGCCAGCAAGGGAGCAGATAGGCATCGATCAGCCTGACAGGGGAGTGGTTAGGGGATGATCAGGCTGGCAGGAAGAAGTGGTTAGGGGCAATCAGGCAGGCAGGCAGGCAGGCGAGCAGTAGGGAGCCAGCAGTCCCACCAGGATTGGGCCTAAACGGGCAGTCAGACAGCCCTTGAGGGGTCTCAGATTGGAGAGGGTGCAGGCTGGACTGAGGGACACCCCTTCCTGTTCACGAATTTTATGCACCAGACCTCTAGTTATATATATGATATTCATAAATTTCATACTTTCAAATTAGTCTTCAAACCTTTTTATGTTCTATAAAAATTCATTTTACTCTAATATTCTTTTTGTCATTAATGTGTATATACCTTTAGCTATTTGTATAGAACTTTATTCTTTTCCTTTAAAATATATGTCCTGCCTTCTATTATTAAAACTATTCAGTATTTAAACCTTAATTTTCCAATGATAATTAAAATTAAACAGCCAGTATTTCTTAGATTGACATTTATTAACACACCTTTTGTAATTATTCTAAAAGATATCAATTAAATTTAAACCAGTTTTAATATTTAAAAATTGATATTAAATATTTGGTTCAGATCATAGAATTAATCCTTTTTAATTAGTCCTATAAAATATTATATCCTAGGTTGAAATTTTACCACATGTAGTACACATAAGGACTACAATATATTTTGAACTATTAACTTCTCCAGAGAATTTTTATACTTTATGCATTTTGTTATTATAATCATATAATTTTTCCCAACATAATTTGAACTTTAAACTTTAGAAGCCTCAAGTTTTAGGTGGCAAGTTAAATACTTAGCATTTCTAAGGTTAGTAATGCTTCTACATTTTTAAGAATATATTTCCAGTAAAGTAGAAGACATATTTAATTAATAGATTCAATTCTATTCTCTTGATTTTTCATATGAGGCAAACTCAATTTAATATTTCAGTATTTTTGTCATTTTAAAATACCTAGATATTTAATCATTTTTATTATTTAGTTCAGTGACATTCTAAAGTTTTAAGTTACCAAAGACTTTGGAAAACTATGTTTCTGGCAAAAAGGCAGGGGGTGGAAGGAGCAGGCCTGTAGCCATAGCTACTTGAATTTTAAAACTGTGACATTCTTCCTTAGAGATAACATCTAAGGTTGCTCCTGCTTTTACAAGAAGAGAGACTTGCCCTTCATCATTAGTATATTTATAAGTATTACTGAAAAGCTTCACCACAAATTCTTCATTTTAGTTACATTTATTTATGTTTGAACAACTTTGAGATTTTAAAGCCAATTATTATTATCCAAGGCATTTTCTTTTGGCAAATTTTGTAATAGAGATAACTTACTGCCTTTCAGTGGCTTTAATGTTAAAGTACTATTTTCTTTTCTATTAAAGCACATGTGTCAAACACAAGGCCCGCGGGCCTTGCAATGTGGCCCGCACCGCGCTGTCATCACTGCACTCCGCTGCGTTTCCATCACAATGACAGTTTATGACTGTTCAGTAAACCATTCGGCCCGCGATTTAGGCTGGATTTTAGATTTTGGCCCCTTCTCTGATTGAGTTCGACACCCCTATATTAAAGTAACAATAAACTAACAATAAACAATAAAGACAGATAAAACAATAATCAACAGACAAGCGCTATTAACACATAGACAAGACTTAATAAATGAGAGTTACAGTTTCTCCGGTAAAAGGAGTGGTAAGACCATTTTGTACTACGCTCTCATGCAAGGCCGTTATCATTTTAAAGTCAAATTTGTCATGCTGTCTTGTTATTTGATTTGGGAGATGTGGATCCACTACCTGTATAATAGGAAAAGCAAGTCCATGCTCCACCATCATGTCCTTTAATCCTTCTTGGAAAGCTCTTTGCACAGGTGATTCTAGTGGCGAATTAAATGTTTCAGGATCAGGACATGGAGGTAGAGGGAGGCATAAAGGCCACTTGTCCAATTTTTCTTTTTGTTCCTCTTTAGGAGCAGAAGGTGCAAGGGGAGGAGGTTTATCCTCTTTTGTTTCTCTAAAAGGCTCTAGCAAATGCAATACCATGTTTCACAAGGAAAACAATTTGGAGGCAAGTTTTTCCCCTGCTGCTGAGCTTTTTCCAAGTTATGAACCACTCTTTCCCAATATTCGACTTCAGGAATAAGGATTATGTTCTATAATAATATGCAAAAACTGTAAGAGAATACCTTCTGACACTTTATCCTTGAGCTTGCAAGCCAAAAGCCTAAAATAAAGTTTCTCCCCTTTACTCAAATTCTGCCCCATTAAGCCTGGCTAAAAAAGACTTTCCCACCCACTTACAGATCTTGACTTTTGAAGCTGGCATAGGCTTTGTACTTGGCCAATTTTTTCTCACATTTTCAGTGATTCTTCCCACCTTTCCTGTGAACTACTTTTTTCATTCTGGTGAATCTTCTTCTCAAGGTGTCCGTCATTCGAGGTGCCAGATGTGAAAGCCGCAATCGGCTAGGATTCAGGATCTGGAAAAGGGCCATGCACAAATGAAGAGACTAGATAAGAAGTATGAATTTGGAAATCATAGGGGGCCAGGCGGAGAGCCATTCTCTAGTGCAGCGTTTCCCAAAGTGTAATACGCGTACCCCCAGAGGTACGGGAAGAGTTTGGTGGGGATATGCACTGCACCATGCTTAGCTGTGCCTAATTCTACGTTCTCATGAGTACGAGGGGTACTCAGCATTACGAAAATTATAGAAGGGGTACACATATGTCAAAAGTTTGGGAAACACTGCTCTAGTGGAAAGGCTTCATTGGTGCCCAGGCCCTGTTAGCTTTTTGTTACTCCTGGAAAGGGAGTAAGTGTGGAGGCTACAGGAAGAACCAGTAGAATATAATTAGGAAAGTTTTGGCCGTGTCAAGATCAGAAGTTTTCATAGAGAAGCATGGATATTCCACATGCATGTGAAGTTCTTTGTTTCTTGTCTTCTGAGAATATTTACTGAAATACCTGAAGGCTTGTGTCCTCTGGCATGGTGTCTGGCCTGCTGTCAGCTCACTGTCAGTTGGTTCTTGGTCTCATGCAGTTCAGTGGGCCTGGAGAGGAGAAGCTGAAGCACGCTGCCGCCACCTTCTGCAGCAACCAGCCCTTCGCTCTGGAAATGATCAAATCTCGTCAAAAGAAAGACTCTCGGTTCCAGACTTTTGTGCAGGTGAGTTGAGGGTGTCATGTGAGAGAAAAAATAATTTTACCAGTTGTAGATTCTAAGCCTGTCTTTCATAAGGATTATAACTGTGTTAAAGTTTTTTAAAGCTGTAACTGCCCTCTTTAATTATTGATGATAGAAAGATGATCTTGGGGTGGTGAAAAATAAAGAGTATATTCATGATTAAAATACTTGACATAGACATTCACATTGCCATGGAGATATTATCTAAGTTGTTATTTAAACAGATAAAGAAACTATTGGTCTAGTGATAAAAAGAGAAACCGAAGTATAGTGTGGCAGTTTTATGTCTTAGCATGTGATAAGTTTTATATAATTACCAGGGCTGTGATGCTATAGACACTTAAGTAATGAACATATAGTCCATGATAGGTGTTCTAATAACCAGGATCAATTCCCCCTTCACTTTCATGTAGGATGCTGAGAGTAACCCTCTGTGCCGGCGACTGCAACTGAAGGACATCATTCCCACCCAGATGCAGAGGCTCACCAAGTACCCTCTCCTCTTGGACAACATTGCCAAGTTCACAGGTGCAGCATTCGTGGAAATTAAACAGCTTAGCAACAAAACTACAAACATCTCTCAGCATTCTGGTGCCTGCAGGTTTCCAAATCCTAGAGCAAATGTTTTAATAAGATTTAGTCCACTCTCGGGATATTTGATGTAATGTCTCCATCAAGGGGCCCAGCACAGGGCTTGGCAGTCTGTGGCTCACCCCATCTTTGTAAGGTGTTAGGGCAGAGTCATGCTCATTGCTGACCATCGTCTGCCTGCCTTGGCCCTGAGACTGCAGAGCTGAGCAAGTGTGACACAGACCACCTGTCCTGAGAAATAGAAAGTATTTACTACCAGCCCTTTACAGACAACGTTCACCTGTCCTCCCTCTAGTATACGTCACATTTCCTGTGAAGAGACTTATACTGGATCGAAGAGATATTTTATATCTATGTATGAACTTTATTGAAACCCCACTGATCAGTTCATTATAGTTCCAGCTCTCCTGTTTTAAAACATGTAGCGAATCTAAGTTTGTCAGTTGAGCTTTAGGCTCTTATACTTAGTTTTCATTAGTAATCTCCTATTTCTTATGTTGGAAAATTTGAAAACACGTTATTTTTTTATACTTGAATATATCTTCTCATTATAGTTGGACTGTTTGGAAGATTGTAATTTTGAATATGCTGTTTTGGTATTTACATTGTAGACCTCAGTGTAACTTCACCACATTGTGGTGAAATTAACCCTCTTTTAGTGATATGAATATTCTCATCTATTTTCTTTCTTTAAATATAATCTCAAATTCAATGAAATTTATTTTGGAGTTATTTTGAACTAGAACCCAGTGCACAGATTTGTGCACAGGTGGAGTCCCTTGACCTGGCCTGTGAGAATTGGGCCGAAACCATCTCTCTGACATTCCCCGAGGGGTCCAGGGTTGTGATAGGGCTGTTCTCAGGTGACGCACCCTAGAACCGGGCTCCCTCCTCTCTGGTTCTGGGTGCGTCACCTGAGAACCGCAGCTGCCAAGTCACCAAGCTCAGCAGCTCCTGCATTGAGCATCTGTCCCCCTGGTGGTCAGTTCACATCATAGCTACCAGTCACACAGTTGCTTAGACTTTTATATATGTAGATAGTATTATTATTAAAAAATAGTAGCAAGTGCACTGGACAGAACCACATGGCTGTGCATGTATATTGCTTACACTCTGAAGGAGACTCACTCTCTGGGATGTGTAACACAGTGGGCTTGATACTTGATGTAAAGCATCTCTCCTAGAGCTTGGTGCCCTGTACTATTGTTTCTTTTTAAAGATGAGTATTTCTGTTTTAAAGTGCTGTCATAAGAAGTTTCACCTGTCCAAACACCACCTGAACTGAGATTCAGACATAGGTTCAGCCTGGTATAAGATTATTCAAGGTTTTATTAAGGCTTTGTAGTTGTTCAAATAAAATGATAATTATATGTATACTAGAGGCCTGGTGCATGAGAATTTGTGCATTGGAAGGGGGAGGGTCCCTCAGCCTGGCCTGCCCCCTCTCAGAGTCCTGGAGCCCTCAGGGGTGGGCAATACCCCATCACACTTCTGCTGCTGCCATTGCTGGCAGTGCAAACCTCGGCCAGCCCTGGTTACCTGAGCCTCAGGTGGCCCTGGGCAGCTGGGCACTGCTATCCAAGGCTTGCCTGTGCCTCAGACTGGCACCAAGAAGTCAACATCTGAGGCTTTCCTGTGCCTCAGGCTGGCCCTAGGGGGCTGAGAAGACTGAGTGCTGCCATCTTGTGACTGTGGGTGCTGCCATCTTTGAGGGCATGACAGTCACTTAGCATATTTCCTCCTTATTGACTATGGGCACTCCATCTTTTGTGAGGGTGTGACAGTAAATTAGCATATTCCCTTTTTATTACTAGAGAACCAGTGCATGAAATTCGTGCATGGGTGTGGTCCATAGGCCTGTTCAGTGACCAGGGCCTATCAGGTACCCCGCCTCCCCCTCTTCTTCCTTCCCTCACCACCCATGTCCACTGACACCCACCCCCAGTTCCCCATCCCAGCCTGGGGTCTGGCCCTGATCAGGTGATTGGGACCTGCCAGCTGAGGGGAGGGCCCCAGGAGGTTTGCCAGCAGGTCCCGATCAGGCTATCAGGTCCTGCTGGCTGAGGGAGCAGGAGGGAAGGGCGGACCACAGCAGGCAGGCAGCAGAGCTATTAGGGCCTGCCTGACAGGGGAGGGACCTGGAAGGTTGGCTGCTGGCCCTCGGGCCCCCTGAGAAAGGGGCCACATCCGGTGCCACCCACTCCTGTTTCCTCGTCCCAGCCCAGGGCTCAGCCCTGATTGGGTGATTGAGGCCTGTGGGCTGAGGCCAGCTCCTGCATTGAGCATCTGCCCCCTGGTGGTCAGTGTGCATCATAGCAACTGGTCATTCTGCTGTAATGATACTTTTTTCTGATTTCCTCCATTTACATTTGGATTTTTGCCCTTGTTTAGAGTGGCCAACAGAAAGGGAGAAGGTGAAGAAAGCAGCCGATCACTGTCGTCAGATCTTAAATTATGTAAATCAGGCCGTCAAGGAGGCAGAAAACAAGCAGGTAAGAAAGGAAAAGAAAAAAGACACAGGATGGCATAGTGAGAATATTAAGTTAGCATCACCTGGAATCTGTGAAATAATCATTGGAAGCATCATTGCACCACTGCAGGGTGGACATTCGTTAAGTGTGCACATCATAGGCGGGCCTGTGTTCCTTTGGGACAGAGCGCCAGCGTGTTAGTTGACTGAGCATCTCCAGCTGCATGTTTGCTCTTTCAGTCATTGGCTCAGTGACTGGAGCGTCTGTGGTGCGGTGTGCTGAGTGGAGGGCACGCGCTGGCCCACACCGAGCTTCTCTTCCAGCAGGAGAGAGTGTCAGTGAGCAGTTGTATGTCAGTGTTGACAGCTTCTATGAAGGAGGATTTCAGGATGCGAGGAGTGTAGGTCGCCGGATGGATTCCCAGTCAGGGCACATACCCGGGGCTGTAGGCTGGGTCTGTGTTTTTCTATCATGAATGTTTCTCTCTCTCCCTCTCCCTTCTCTTTCTCTCCAAAACAAAAACAAAACTTTTTTTTTTTTTTAAGCATGATCTGTTTGAGGAACTGAAAGATGAGATTAGCATGTTTGTCATGCTGAAACACAAAGTCATAGTGTTATGAAATGAAGTGCAATAGGGTAGGGCCACATCATACAGGGCCCTGTACCAAGCATATCAAACTCGCGGCCCACTGGCTGCGAGTTTGACATGCTTGCTATAGACCATATTTAAAACAAGTTTTCTCAGAGCAATAGGGCTTCGTTATAGACATTCAAGATGAAGAGGGGTGTGCTCGGGTGTTCACTTTATAAGTATCAGACATCTACTCTGGAGAGAGGACTGAAGAGGGACGAGAACGGATGCAAGAGCTCACTGGTCTCAGTAGCCAGGACAACGCTGGTGCTCCAAGTGGTGCTAGGATTGGAGAAGTATTCAGACGATGGAATTGACGGGGTGCGTTGCTTGATTTAGAGAAGGATTTGAAGAGAGAGAACGTCAGGAATAAACCAAGGTCTCTGATTTGCATATTTGGGTGCACAGGATGAGTGGAGAAGCCCCAGATTTGTGAGGAAGATTGAGTTCATTGTGACCTCAGGGAAAATGCACAGTATAAGCAGTTGGCTTCATGGGTCCAGCTCTCAGCGCACTGGACTGAAAATAAAACACAAGCACACAGAGGCCTCCTGAGTCCATGGATCTGGATGTAATTTTTAAGAACCGAGTATGATGATGACTCTATTGGTGAGGCGATTAAAAATGGGAACTTGCCAGTGTATGCTTAGAGTGTAAAATGATTAAATTCCAGAGGGCAATCTTTATGTAAGTTAAAAATATACATATTCATACATCCTTTGACCCAGCCATTCTTTTCCTAATTATTTACCTAAGAGAAATTAAGTTATGCCCAGAGACTTATAACAACTTAACCCAAATGTTGTGTAATCATAAAAGAGAATAATACTAGCAATAAAAAGGAAACTTGGATGAATCTCTCAAACATTTCAGAGAAAGAATCCAGACACAAAAGGGTATACACAGACAGTTACTTGTTTAGGGTATCACACACGCCAAGAGGTTGCAGGTTCGATTGCTGATCTAGATTGTGGGTTCATTCCCTGGTTGGGGCGAGTATGGGAGGCAACTGATGGATCTTTCTCACAATGAGAGCGCTCGCACGTCCCCTCCCCCTCCTCCTCTCCCCCCCCTCCCCCCCCCCCCCCCCCTCCCCCCCCCCCCCCTCCCCCTCCCCCTCCAACTTCTCCTCCCCTCCCCCCTCCCCCTCCTCCTCTGCCTCTCCCTCTCTTCTCCTTTTCTCTCTCCTTTCCTTCCCTCTCTCCTTCCTCTCTCCTTTCCTTCCTCTCTCCCTCTTTCCTTCTCTCCCTCTCTCTTTTCCTTCCTCTCCTTCTCCCTCTCCTCTCCCTCTCTTCCTCCCTCCCACACCCACCCTTCCTCTTTCTATCTAAAACCAATAAAAACATATCCTTGGATAAGGATTAAAAAAGAAGAGTATATACTTATAATTCTGTGTATGTAATCTTCCAGAAAAGGAAGATTAATCAGTGGTGGAAAAAAGTCAGAAAGGTGGTTGTCCCCGGGAATGCGGGGACAGATTCTAAATAGGAAAAAGTATGAGAGCGGTGGTATTTTATAACTTGATAGGAGTTTGCTCAGGTACATTTGCATTCATAAAAACTTACAGAAAGCTACATTTAAGATGTGTGCGTTTCACTGCTTGTAGATTTTAGTTTATAAAAAGAACTGTAAAGAAATATTGAACTCTTGTTTATTCCAGGGATGCTAAAATGATTAGAAGTAAAGTGTGCTATGTCTGCAGTTTATTTTGAGATGCATACAAAATACAAAGTGGATTAATGGATAGAGGGGTGAGGATGACTAGAAGGATGGATATATGACAAAATCAAGTATTAATTATAGAATGGAGGTAGAAGGTATCTAGGTAATCACTGTACACATTAAAACTGTTCTGTTTATTTGGGAATTTTTATAATCTTGGGGAAAATACACGTACCCTTTGAGCTAACAGTTCTTCCTTTAGAAATTTATTCTATAGTTGTATCTACACATGTGGACTGAAGTATACATTTAAGGCCATTTTATTGCAGTATTGTTTGTTATAAGAGAAGATTAGAAGTAACCTGCATTTCCATCAATAATGAACTATAGTTCATTCAGAGTTGAATACTATGCAGCCACTAAAAATATGAGACTGCTTTTTCTATATGTGCTAATGTGGAACAGTCTCCAAGATACATTGATGAGTGGTATGCATATATAGAAAAATGTGTATATAAATATGTTATGCTACCATGTCCTTTTTGTTGAAGGATATATACACACAACATGTACAGAGACAGGCATACACATATATTCTATTTGCTTAGAATTTTTCTCATAGGCTCCCCAGGAAATGGGTATTTCTTTAGAAAACATTGGGTGGAGAGCAAAGAGAACAGGGCAGGGGAGACCTACTTTTTACTGGGTGCCTTGTAGCACATTCTGAATTGTGTACCATGTACATGATTTACATGTTCAGCAAATAAATACAGGCTTGTAAGTCCGAAAAGATTGAAGAGCAGCCAGAGGTAAGATGAGAACTAGGAGAGCACTCACAGCCCAGGGAGAACTCGGAGGAAGATCTAGCATCTGTTCTGTCTAGTGTCGCACAGAGCTCAGTTCCGTGCCGTTCAACTTAGGAGCAGTGAGACTTTACCTCCACAACAGTAACCTGTGCTCTGTCCTGTCTGATTCTCAGCGTTTAGAGGATTATCAGCGTCGCCTTGACACTTCCAACCTGAAGCTGTCCGAATACCCAGACGTTGAGGAGCTCAGGGTGAGAAATGGTCCAACAATGACTTTAGCCATAAAATGCCTGATGACCCCGCAGGAAGTGAAGGCTCCGAGGAAGCATCGTTGCTCAGCTCTTGCTTTTAAATGTCATATCCCTATGGGGCTCCTTCAGTTAGTCTTTCACTAAAGGAATGTTTTCTGTGAGATTAACTTTTTTCATAGAAATTTGCAAGAGATGAAAAGACATTACTTATTAAGTTAATGTTATTTATGCAATGATAGTGAAATATTAATTATCACTTCTGGTACATGAGGCTTTTTTATTAGTCACTACTTAGGTTTAAATCTTTCTTACACTGTTTCACTGTTGATTGTTTTGTCAGATTAATTTGGTGGCTATTAAAACTTGTCATATGAAGCAGCTTATCAACAAGCATGCTTGATGTGCTAAGCCCAGCCAGAGTACAGGGTTTTCCTAGAGCTGCTGATGCTAATGATGACTCTCAACCATGTCATTACTCCCTAGAGCAGGGGTCTGCAACCTTTAAGACATAAAGAGCCACTTGGACCCATTTCAGAAGGAAAAAAAAAAACCTGGGAGCCGCAAAACCATTGCGACATTTAAAACAAATATAACACTGCATATATTGTTTCTTATCTTAATGCTATATACCGGATCGTGCAGTTAGCTGTCAATCTGAAGAAAAAAAGGACTTTTTCATTTAACAATGTAAAATATATTTTTGCAAATTAATAGCTAATTAAAATATTTAATTTACCTGGTTAATGGGATTTTTGCTCCTGAACCTCAGTGCACAGTGTCTGCACATCAGGGCTGTGAGACATTACCTTCATTTTCACACGGGCTTGCAAGTTGTCGGAGCCGCGGTGAAGCTTCAAAGAGCCGCATGCAGCTCTGGAGCCGCAGGTTGCCAACACCTGCCCTAGAGCCAGCGCTGCCTGAGCTCTCCCTACGTGCTGCCTTAGACTCCCCTTGCCACCAGAGCCGGGGACACAGGCCTCTTACAAACCAGCTTAGCAATATCTGCATCTGGTTTTTGGTGGAAGAGGCAGCGATGGTGAGGATCTGACAGCTGGATGCTCACAGCTTCACTTTCCTAAGCAAGGCCATCTGTTCACAGGGGCTTAGAAGGCAGTGCTTCCGAGTGTTTTTAAGACGCTTTTCCTTTGTAGAGAATTTTATGCAGCTTACTTTAACTTACTCTTTACTTCATTTTCAGTAGTTGACATATCAATAATGGTGAATGTAAGTGGTATTTTTATATTAAGAATTTCTTGAAAAGAAACTAAAATATTATCTCACTAAGTACTTAGAAATAATTTCTGTATAATTCTCTTTATTTTGACAGAATTTGGATTTAACAAAAAGGAAGATGATTCATGAAGGACCATTGGTTTGGAAGGTGAATAGAGATAAAACTATTGGTAGGTCTAATGTCTGTCAGTTTTGGGGAGAGTGAAGAAAGGAAAATAATAGGGACGTTTCATAGAAGAAGAGAGAACCATTCACAATTTTCAGTTACAGCAGTTAGCATTGCTACTCTGTGTTATTCATGCCTTACAGGAGCTGTGCTTCTGTGGTTTTGTTATTTGTGAAGTTGCTGCTTGTTTGTGTGGGGGTGAGGCAGGACACTGTCATGCCTCAGTCCTGTCTCCCATCATCCTGGCATCTGCGTTGAGTCGAGGCTTTTGGATCACAAGGCTACAGCTGTCTTTTTTTTTGGTCAGGCTGATACTTCAGGGAAATGGAGGCCATTTTTTATAGAAAATTTCTCTGTAGAATTTTATGAAATTTAAAATTTCTGTACTGATCACGTTTCCCTGTGTTTTTCTCTAGATCTGTATACATTGCTGCTGGAAGACATCCTTGTATTGTTACAAAAGCAGGATGATAGGCTGGTGTTAAGATGTCACAGTAAGATTCTGGCATCCACAGCTGATAGCAAGCACACATTTAGCCCTGTCATTAAGTTGAATACAGTGTTGGTTCGACAAGTGGCAACAGGTGAGCATGTCTGCTGAGTGTTGCTAACCTTCAGGTTCATAGTAAAGTTGCATAAGATATTTAGTATTACAACTGGCATAAAGTTTTGTTCTTTTCATATTCTTATGCAAATTAAATGAAAATTACTTACTTGGAAAGTGGATTGAGAGTTTATACTCCCAAATTAGGACACCAAGACTCTCTGAGCAATTTTCTGCATTTGAAAATTTTCTGCATATTTGGTCTTTATTCCATGTTCAAATCATTGGTAGACAAAAGGCTTTCATTTGAGTGGTATGTTTTTTGATTTGGTGGGGAAAAGGCACAAAACCTCAAGAGTTGGGTATAGTTTAGGTTTTTAAATCGGTTTAAGTTAGTAAATTATCTTAATATATAAAAACCCTGGGTTGTAACATCCGGTAATGACTGAGGCTTGACCAACCGGAAGTCAGTCCTGCAGGGTGTCCCAGCACTGACTGCTGAGTGGGCTTCGAATTAGAGCCAGAGAGAGGCCTGAAGAGAGAAGCAGGAAATGATCCATTGCCTCTGTGGCAGCTTTTGATCAGTACTTGCCTCACTGTCTCCCAGTCTGGCCAGCAGCCTCACCTCCATTTCTCTTTAGGCCTCCACTGGGGCTGCTGATCAGCCCTGTCTTTCTGATCAGGCCCTGTTGAAAGGCCCAGAGACGCTGACTGGCATAGAAACTGACCAATCAGAACCAAATCTGGGTGAAGTGTGAGGAACCAATGGCTGCCTACGAGGCGGAGCTTTGACACTGACTAGCATAGAAACTGACCAATCAGAACCAAATCCAGCAGACTAGGGCAGTTGTGGGTGAGATCAGGCTTGCAGGGAAGGGAAGTTGGGGGCAACCTGGCTAACGGGAGGGCAGTTGGGGACAACCAGGCCAGCAAGAGAGGGTAGTTGGGGGCAGAGGAGGGCAGTTGGGGGCAATCAGGCAGGCAGGTAGAGGTAGTTAGGAGCAATCAGGCAGGCAGGTGAGCAGTTAGGAGCCAGTGGTCCCAGGTTGAGAGAGGGATATCTGACTGCCAGTTTGGGATTGGGCCTAAACCAGCAGTCAGACATCCCCCAAGGGGTCTCCAATTGGAGAGGGTGCAGGCTGGGCTGAGGGAACCACCCCCTCCATGCATGAATTTCGTGCACCAGACCACTAGTATATTAATGATACTGACAATGAGATCCCTTTTAAAACTCGTTAGTTCCATGATGACAGGGTAAATTTAGGCACTTAGACTTTTTATTTATATTGAGTTACTGTGGAATCAGTGCTAGTTTTTATAATCTTTGGTTTGTAGCAGTTAAAAAACACACTAGACTACACAGCCTGTTGTATAAAGTTTAAGTGTGTAACTTGGTGAATTTTTACAAAGCAAACACATGTTTACAAAGTGAACACATGTAACCTTTAGCTGGACTAAGATGCAAAATAATACCAGGGCCCTAAAAATGGCCTCTGTGGGTCATTTTTTTCTTTTCTTTTTTTCTAGATAACAAAGCTTTTTTCGTCATTTCCATGTCAGACAATGGAGCCCAAATCTATGAGCTGGTGGCACAGACAGTTTCGGAAAAGACTGTGTACGTATTAAACATCGCTGTTTCTGTAACTTTTTAAATTAAATCTATTGGGGTGACATTAGCTAATGAAATTATATAGGTTTCAAGTGTATAATTCTGTGATACATTGTCTATATGTCGCATTGTGTGTTTACTACTCAAAGTCAATCTCCATCACCATGTACTTGGCCCCCTTTACCCTTTGCGCTCTGATGTTTCCAATGTCCTGACTATAATCTACCCCATGGTGCTCTGATGTTTTCAATGTCCTGACTATAATCTTTCACAAACAGAACATTGTTTCTGCAGGACAACTTTGAAAATCAAAAATCAAGCAATTCCTCTCTATTCTTTTAGATGTTCTTCTAAGAAGGTGTTACTTTTTATATTGATGATCCTTATTTTGATTCTGTCCTACTGAAAGTATATTTTCTAAAGAAAAAAATGCAGAGGGGTCATAGGAAGCGTTTTAATGGGCAGTGTGTTCATTATATTGTTAAGGTTTTTTCTTAAAGTGCACAGTTATAATCTCTGCTTAATAGCAGTAGTCAACATAAATGTCATCTCTGTCAAAAGTAGAGTTTCTGGTTGGTTTTGGTTTCTGGTTATGTTTGTTTTATTTTGTTTTTATTTTTGTGTTCTCAGTGTATTTAAAGGCCTTCTCTTTTTCCTCCCCCTTTTTTATGTGGGATTCTTGTGAAAACCCCACAGCTGGCAGGACCTAATCTGTCGGATGGCCGCATCGGTGAAGGAGCCGTCCACAAAGCCAATCCCCCTGCCACAGTCACCACCTGGCGAGTGAGTGTGCCTGGGCCTGACTAAGGATGTCTTTGTTTTCTTTTGGTTGGAAGAGGAGTAGGTAATGTTTGCATTTTTGTTGCGTGTTATGTAGGCGCCTGTGACGTCTAAAGATTGTCTTCTTTCTTCTGCAGAGGAGACAGTGAGGATGGCAAGCCTCCCAAGTTAAAAGCGGAGCATCAAGGCATGTCCTCTGCTGATCTGCAGAGTCCAGGTAAACCCACCTGCTAGTTTCCTTGGAAGAATGTAGTCCACATGTTGCTTATTAAAATGCACAGAAACCGTCCGGCCGTGTGGCTCAGTGGATGAGCATCAACCTATGAACCAGGAGGTCACGGTTTGATTCCAGTGAGGGCACATGCCTGGGTTGCAGGCTCGATCCTCAGTGTGGGGCATGCAGGAGGCAGCTGATCCATGATTCTCTCTCGTCATTGATGTTTCTCTCTCCCTCTCCCTTCCTCTCTGAAATCAATAAAAATATAAACTTTAACACTTTTTGTTTTAGGCGTCAGTTTGGGTGTCAGTTTTTCATTTTAACAAACTTTGCTTGTGAGCCTTCTGTGGGCCATTGTAACACTGCTCTGACTGTGTATTTTATTTAATAGACAATCTCAGTAGTTCATATGATAATTTTTTCCAAGTGTTTCCTAAATGCTACCTGTTAAATATTGAAAAATATGTTTTCCTTTTCCTGTTTCATTTAACAGACAGAGATTTGGGATTAGAATCTCCCTTAATATCATCAAAACCTCAGTCTCATACACTGGGCACTTCTGGGAAAGCAGAGGCTGACGAACTCTCTGTGGCCGAGAGGCGGTTTGCACAGGAACAGCATGCAGAGGGAGCTGTCAAGGAAGCAGGAGTAAATAATCACATCACAATCCCAGACTTACACTTGCCTGTCTCGGAAGAGCGGTGGGCGTTGGACGCACTGAGGAACTGTAAGCTTTATTCCTAAGTTAACACAGACTCTTAGTAAGTACCAGAGCTGTATAATGTACTACACAGTCATTTAGGGAGAATCCAAAGAAGTATAAACAGACTTTTTCTTGGAAGAATTTTACAGTCTAGTTGGGAAGATAATTGAAACATTGCCCATCTTTTTAAGTACTAAACATACAGGGATGTCCAAAGTGACCTGGTCAGGGGGACAAGGGCAGGGAGGCAACAGAAAATGAGAGGTGATTAAAGCCTTCAAGGATGGATAAAACTCTGATAGGTATTTAGAAGAGTATAAGTTATTCATCAAGAATACGATGGCACTGAAAGCACAATGAGGGGAAACTTGAGGGTGAGCCTGCGTGCACTGGAGCTGTGGGAGGCGAGGCGGGCTGCAAGGGGGCAGAGGAGAGTGCAGCCCACCTGCTGGAGCCTTAGACATTAGACTGAGCCTCCTGAACTTGGCGGATGGCACAACACAGTGCTCAGAGGGCTTTTCCAAACTGCCAATTACTCTGATTCCCTGTGGCAATTGTCCCATCCTCACACACAGGCACACTGTGCACTTACCCAGGAGCGTGGGCGGGCCTTGCCACTCTTAGCTGCCCCTCTTCTCCAGCCGCTGATAATCACTGTCAGTGGGAGAGTGCTTCCTCTCTCAGGAGCAATGGGGGTTGGGGAAAAGGCTGAGAATAATGGCTCTAACTATAGAGATCCATTTGAAGTTTTTAAGGTTATGACTAATGAAATTTGAGATCTGTGAAAGGATTTAATGAAAAGAGGCTTAGAACGGTACACTTACTGTTTAGACTATTGTAGTAGTGTGGACTTGAGCGTAAAGGGTTAGAACTAGAAAGGTGTCAGAGGAATAAATATAAAGGGAGGAGTCAACAGATATTTAAAGCAATTGACCTGTTTGGATGTGAGGACAAAGGGAAGGAAATAGAGATAATTTTAGTGTTTTTATCAGATAAAAAGTAAAAAAGGACCACCACTCCCACTTTCACACTCTTCCCCCTTTTTTAGTTTGACAGAGGTTGTGGGCGTAATTGTAAAACATACTGAGTTTAAGACAATGAATAGCAAAGCATTTAGAGGAAGCAGGAGTTGCAGTTTCAGGCTGGGACTTGGGAGGTGCAGGGAGGGAGGTGGCTGTGAGCATCACAGCTACAGGCATTCAGAGCATCTCTTGGGAAGTGAAAGCAAAATGTTAATTTCATATAAAAGTAATTATATGAAATTAACACTTTGACTTTATGTTACTAAAAAGATGCTTACTTTTAGGAAGTGCTAATGGCACTACAAGGTCAGGCCTCAGCCTCTGGGAACTAACAGAAGGTAGAGACTAAGCCAGAGCTGCACGTGGGGCGTTGGTCTGGCTTATTCATACCTGATTAACTTACATTCTCCCGAATGAACACTGATAATGACTTCTTTAAAAAAACGTTTTTTCAGTTATATTTTACATTCAATATTATATTAATTTCAGGTATACACCTAGTGGTTAGGCATTTATAAGTACTATAAAGATTTCTGATGGTTTGACCAAACTTGTCCCAGTAACTGTCATTGTATGAGGGGCCTTATAGCATACATTTGCCTATTCTAATATATTGCTTCTTTTTTTTTTTTTTTTTTTTAACAACCTAAGAAAGCTATGCCATGAATAAGGTCATTTAAAAAAACAACAACTAATTACTATTCCCTTTTGAAATTATACACACTGATAAATCATTAGAATTAAATATTTTTATAGGGAAGTTTATTTTCTTCTTTACTACTTAAGGAAAGCCTTTAGGTTATTATCCTGTATAATAAAAGGGTAATACCCAAATTGTCTCCTCAACCGGGAGTTCGACCAGAGTTCGACCAGGGGGCGGGGAAGACCTGCCAACTTCCTGTGGCTCTTCCCCCTGGCCAGCCCGGCCCGAATGGCCCTTATCTTGGTGGGCTGGCTGGACCCCACCCATGCACAAATTTGTGCACTGGCCTCTAGTCTATCCTAACACTAGGGTAATATGCAAATTGGTTGGGACACCATCACAGTAAGGATTGGGCAGCAGTCCTTACTGTGTGTGCAGTAGGCACGAGTGGGCGGGGACTTGCAGTGTCAGGACAGGGGCAGGGCCACGGCAGAGAGGCCTCTCCGCACGCCTGCACCTGGGCTCCACAGGTGACAGAGAGGCCTCTCCGCACGCCTGCACCTGGGCTCCACAGGTGACAGAGAGGCCTCTCCGCACGCCTGCACCTGGGCTCCACAGGTGACAGAGAGGCCTCTCCGCACGCCTGCACCTGGGCTCCACAGGTGACAGAGAGCCTCTCTGCGGTGGACTTGAGGACAGGTCCGCAGGCACGAGGAGGTCCGAAGGCCTCCATGCACCTGCTCTGGGGGTCTGCAGGCCTCCGCTGCGGCCCAGCCCAGAAATCGCAGGCCTCCCTCAGCTCCAGCCTCTCTCTTTGAGGAAATTCATTGAGGAGCCCTGGATGGGTGGGCGGGCCTACCTCTTTGGGGCAATTTATCACTGTGTCAGGGCACAGATCAGGCTGAGAGATGCCCCTATCCCAGAGTACACCAATTTTATGCACCGAGCCACTGGTCCTGTATGATAAAAGCCTAATATGCTAAGTGTCCGACTGGTTGACCCTTCGACCAGTCACTATGATGCCGAGCACTGACCACCAGGGGGCAAATGCTCCTACTGGTAGGTTAGCTTGCTGCTAAGGTCTGACCAATCAGGACTGGGTGAGATGGGGCAGACACGCCCTGGAGTCCCCCCACAATCCCTCCCCATCCAGCCAACCTCCCACGGTCCCTCCCTCATGTACTGTTGGGGTCCTTTAGCCTGGCTTGCACCCTCTCGCAATGCGGGACCCCTCAGGGAATGTCAGAGCTGGTTTCCGCGCAGTCCCCGCAAGCCAGGCCAAGGGACCCCACCAATGGACAAATCCGTGCACCAGGCCTCTAGTAAATGATTAAATAAATATTCTTTGTATTTAATAAAATTAGAAAAAATAATGCCTATGTGTATAGTGTCTGCTTCTGGAAAAACAGAACTTTTGGAGTTTTTGTTGTCTAGCTTACCAAAGTTTCTCAGCATCTTTGGGTCTTATTCCAGTTACTAGTATATGAAAGAAAAAATAGAAGAGGACATGGTATTAGTTACTTAGCATTTCTAAGTAGGAGCACCTCCCATTACAAATCTCTAGATTTTCCTAGTCTAGTTTAATATTATATTGCTTTATTTCAAAAAATAAAAATAATTATATGAAGTTAACATTTGACTCTATGCTACTAAAAAGGTGCTTACTTTTAGACAATGCTAATGGCACTACTTAGTTTTGGTTTCAGTCTGAGATTTCAGTGTGAATATGCCTTTCCCTTGCCCCTCAATCTTGCAGTGGGCTTGTTGAAGCAGTTGCTGGCACAAAAGCTGAGTCCGGCTGAGAAGAGCACTCAGGAAGATTGGCCACATTTTTCAAGATACCGGACAGCCTTCCCCTGGGTGCAGGCAGACAGTGGAACCCAGAACTTTGAAATGATGAAGGCCTGTCGCGGTGAAAGACAGATGCCCTTGAGAGCTGGAGCAGATAGCCTTTCAGCATGCAGCAGTCCACCGGCCTTAGCAGACTCTCCTGCTCCTCGGGATCCTGCGGTCCTGGCATTCCAGCAGGGCCAGGCAGGTAGCAGTGCAGTGACGGGCCACACCCCTGTGCCCCTGGAGGCTCCTCCTGCAGAGCCAGAAGGCGGTCTTGATGAGAGTGGGGAGCACTTTTTTGATGCCCAGGAACTACACAGTGATGATAATCCATCCGAAGGTGAGGGAGCAGTTAAACAGGAAGAGAAGGACATTAACGTACACATCTCAGGCAAGTTCTCACATCGACACTTTGATGTTGATTGCTGTTACTGTCCTGTGTGGTGAAACAGATGGTGTTTGGGTTTGCAAGCATTGTGTGTGTGTGTGTGTGTGTGTTACTTATTCTTTATCACACTAAATAATTCTTGAATCTACTCTAGTGCTTGGAGATAGAGCATTGAATAAATAAAAGTCAACTCTTCTCCTGAAGTTTAGGTGCTAGTTGGGGTGCTAGTTCAGTCAATTCTATTATATAATCTATCCTATATAATAGAATTAACTGAATGGCAGAACGACCGGTCACTATGATGTGCCCCTGAGACACTTAATGCAGGAGCTGCCCCTGGTGATCAGTGCACTCCCATAGGGGGAGTGGCGCTCAGCCAGAAGTCGGGCTGATGGCTGGCAAGTGCAGCAGCAGTGGCAGGAGCCTCTTCCACCTCCGCGGTTAAGGAGGTCTGACTGTTGACATCCTTCAAGGACTCCTGAACTGCGAAAGGGCACAGGCCAAACTGAAGGACCCGCCCACCCCCAAGTGCACAAATGTCATGCACCAGGCCTCTAGTATGTATATAAAAGGCTCTCTTACTGGTTTGGCTCAGTGGATAGAGCATCGGTCTGTGGACTGGAGGGTCTTGGGTTTAATTCTGGTCAGGGGCACATGCCCGGGTTCCGGGCTCAATCTCTAGTGGGGGACATGTAGGAGGCATCCAATCAATGATTCTCTCTAATCATTGATGTTTCTCTCTCTACCCCTCTCTTACACTCTGAAACCAATAAAAATATATTTAAAAAAATAAAATAATAAAAGGCTAAGTGACCAACTGACCATCTGTCTGACCTTCTGACCAACCGACTGGCCAGTATACATGACGCACACTGGCAATTCAAAATAAATGTTGACTCACGCACGCGTGATACATGTAAAACTCTCTGAATGGGTATTATTGAAATCCCCTGTGAAATGATTTGTAACATCTATTATTGAAGCTACCTTTGGAAATAGCATATCTATAGCTAATATTTAAACTATATCTCAACATGCGATTCTTTGACCTAGAAATGAGCATGTTCATAAACTAAAATGAAGAAATTTTGGAAATACTCGATGTAGATTTCCACACCTGTTTGAGTGATGATTCCACTTATTCAATGGATGATTCTGAAAGGAAAATTTTTCTATCAAATTCTTCCTTGTCATAAATTAAAATTGAAAGTGGGTGCAATCATTCATGCTACTGAGAGATCTTAATAAGTGAATGGGGTCTTTGTAATGGCACTAGATCTATTATCACAAGATTTTGACCTAACATTATCGAAGCTGAAGTACTTACTAACAGGATCTGCAGGGGGAGAGGTTGTTCTGATTCCAAGAACTGATTTGTCCCCATCTGACACTGGCCTCCCATTTAAATTAATTCGAAGACAGTTTCCCGTGATGCTAGCATTTGCGATGACTGTTAATAAATCACAAGGACAAACTTTAGACAGAGTTGGAATATTTCTACCAGAAAGCGTTTTCGGACATGGTCATTTTATGTTGCTTTCTCTCGAGTTCAAAGAGTGTGTAACATTAAAATTGTAAATACTTCATCACAAAGGAAATTAGTCAAGCTCTCTGAAAGTGTTTTCACTCTTAATGTGGTATACAGAGAGATATTAGAATAAATTTAATCCATTTATTAGCCATTGTTATGATGAAAGTTATTTATATATCATGTTTTTGTTGTTTTTATATCATGTCTTTGTTGTATTATCATGTTATTAATTAATCAACTTATATATTACTAGAGACCCTTTGCAGGAAGATTCCTGCAAGAATAGGGCTTCCTGCAGCCAGAATGAAGCAGAGAAAAGAGCGGGCTTCACTCCCGTCTCCGCTGCCTCACTCCCTCCCTTCTCTGCTGCTAGTTTCTCCCTTCTGCAGCACTTGACTTCCTTCTGTGCTAACCGCCATCTTTGTTGGGTTAATTTGCATACTTGCTCCTGGCTGGTGGGTGTAGGGGACGGATGGTCAATTTGTTGTTTTTCTTTTATTAATGTAGATTTTCATATACATTTTACTAATTTTCTTTCATTTCCGACGCTTCTATTTTAGAGAATAGGTGAATAGTGATCTTAAAACATTTCTTCTAATTAATTTCCGTTCAGTGTGCACGAATCAATGCACTGGGCCACTAGTGATAAATAAGTAAGCAAATAAATAGAGTGAGAAGAAGTCTTCACAGGAAAGTGAGTCAGACTAAGGGTCACAGAGTAAGGGGAAGGCAAGTGACCAGGGGAGAGGCCTCTGCTGAGGCTGCGTCAGAGCCAAGACCCTGGAAGCAGCTCAGGTGTCTGGGACAGAGTCCCAGCTAGAGGAGGCACAGCTATGCAGCGAGCTCCAGCTCGGGGTTGAGGAGTAAGTAGGGTACAGGGAGAAAAATGGTGGGAGATGGGGGAGGAGCATGTAGTGGTGGCAAGATTGTAGAGGAACATTGTAGTTTTCAGCTTTTAACTTTTCAAATGCTAACTCCTATGAATTATTCAGAAAGTACCATGAAAGTTTGCTAAGTGTCCCTGGAACCAAAGGAAGAACATTAAGTTGTGCTTTAAATATGGGGATTCGGAAATTAATGGCTTTCCCGAATTGACAGTCTTTAATCGCTTTAAAGCTGTCACCATTTCAACCGCCCCGTTTCCTGACACGTGGGTGGCCCTCCAGTCTCACAGCCCTGTCTCTGTCTGTAGGAAACTATTTGATCCTCGCTGGCTATGAAGCTGTGCAGGAGAGCTCCACCGATGAGGAGGGTGCCGTCTGGCTCCCCCCGCATTCCGGAACGGTCCTCCCCACCACGGACCCTGCCCAGCAACAGCGGCCCTCTTCCCAGAAGGCTCTTCCTGATGGGGCGGTGTCACCATTCACCCCGCAGCGCTGGGGAGCTCTGGAGGGGGCCTGCTTGGAGATCCAGAGCCCCTTCGCATGTGCAGACTCCCCGAGTCAGGTCCTGGAGTGCATCCACAAGATAGAGGCTGCCCTGGAGCACTTAAAGGTACCTGGGCCCGGCCCCTCAGGACTCGGTGGGAGGCAGCACGTGGGCCAGCAGGGAATGCAGAGTGATTGAAACACTGGTGTCAGCAAACTTGTTGCGTTCTAAATGTGTGTTTTCTTTGACCATTGTCCATGAAAAGGCCTGGGAAGAGGCAGAGATCAGCATTGTTTATCTGGTTACAAAGCACAGTGACAGGAAGCACTGGAGCCCTGGGAGCTGTGTTTGCACGGGCTTCTAGGCGTGAGGCGCGGATGTGTGTGAGGGGACTGGCTGACCGCCTTGCGAGGCGGGAACAGAGAGCTGGATAAAGGGTTTGTATCCTTGGAGTGGAGGCCGGGACGTGTTCGCCTGGTGCTGTGGGGATGAGTTGGCCCTGTGGCTGTTGTGAGTCAGCGCAGTGTGGGGGCTTGGTGAACTGAGTGTCCGTGTCACCTCTGTCCTGGCCCTGGTCAGCCTGACTGCCGTGGGCTTCTGAGGAAAGAGCTTTCTTTATTGGCGTTTACGTCTGCAGCCCCGCGGCTGCCCGCGGCTCCCACTGGCCGGGCAGAGGGGCTCTGGGGACGTGTTTGCCTTGTTCACACGCAGCGTCCTGGCCTGCCGATGGGCACTTGAGAGGCGTGTGCCGGGTGGCTCTCCCTGAGGGGCCTCCCAGCTGCTCTCCTCTGCTTTCTTCTCACGGGGGAAATGTTACGTCCCTCATTCAAGATGGAAAAGGGCAAAAGGAGTGAAATTTACAAGTTTCCCTCCACTAACAAAATTTTAATTATGTTTATGTTGCAATTTGGAAGCATACCTGTAATTAAAAAACATTTTTCTTATTTTCAAAAATATGTTTTTATGATGTTCAAATGAAAAACTGATGCTTTTATTTTACAGAAGGTGGAGGAAAGTTACACCATTATTTGCCAAAGGCTGGCTGGGTCAGCCCTCACAGACAAACACTCAGGTATGTGAAAGCTGCATATTCCAGACTCTGGAATTATCCTGCCTGAACAAATACATGAAATGCATGCATAAATAAATATTTTAAAACGTTTTCAAACATCAAAGATCACCCCTCTCCCCTTTGCACAGCGGGAGGCAGAGGGAGGGCTGCTGATCCAGTGCCCAGGGGCCGCCTGCGGGTGGCTCCTCACCTGGCCCTCCCAGTCTCTCTTGGACTCCATGGCTGCAGGTGGTGCTGAGCTCAGCACAGCAGTCTATGCCATTGGCTCTGGATGAGGCTGTTCTGGTCCAGAAGCAGAGGCGGACCCCGGCCTCAGAGCTCACGGTGGTCTCCAGATGCCCATGTGCCCTTTCTTCTTACTTTGACCCATGATGTCCTTATTCTTCTAGATAACAGCTAGAGCTGCGCGTCCTGGAGGTGGTTGGAGTTTGAGCATCAGCACATCCTGGCCCTAGTGTGAGCAGAGAGAGAGTGGCAGAGGGTCTGCCTGGAAAGCTTCGGGGCTGGCCTGCCCCCGGCCCAGAGAGGACCGTCCTTCCCAGTCAGCAGCTGCCTGCTGTCCGCGAGGGAGCCTCTGCTCCACACTCTGCGCCTCACGACCAGGAGTCCATTTGGATTCAGAACAAAAACCAAATGCATAGAGCTCTGGGTGTGTGGGGTATGACGTTTTATTTAGACTTAAGAAAAGGAGAAAATCAGATGTATTTATTTGACTTCATTCCACATTTGAAAGCACATTTTAATTTCTCTTTTGCTGTGTTTTAATTAAGTAGTGAGACTTTGTCCCTTTATATTTAGTTCACCAAAAACCAGTGGCTCCTGAGGCGGAGAGCTCAGGAGCAGGTGGCAGGAGGCCGGGCGGAGAGGAGAGAGCAGCCTGGGGAGCAGCCAGCCTTCTCCTGTATCACAGCCTCTGCTGCCCGGGGCTGCTCCCATCTGGCCTCGAGGCAGAGGCGACCTGTGCCCTGTGCTTCCCGGGGGCAGAGCCAGGGCTCCCCGCTCTGCTCCAGGCCAGCACTGCCCTCCCTCTGGGATCGCAGGAACCCGAGCCTCGAGCCTCGTGTGCCCCAGGGCAGCCACTTGGGAATGGGCGCTTTCTTCTCGGTTGAGGGTTGGGATTTGGGAGGGAAAGGAAAGCAAATTTCGTTTTCTTGACTATAAATTTGTTTTTCTTAATATGTTTCATTTTTATAATTATACATTGGACTTCAGCACGTGTGTACAATTGCTCCTGCAGATTGAGCAGGAAATAAAAGCAAAACAAGTGGAGATGCCTCAGATGGCAGGGGTGGGGTCTGTGGAGGGCGGGGTGGCAGCAGCTGAAGGCGTTTGGGAAGGTCTGCAGGGAGTCCCTCCTGAGTTGAAGTGGCTGCACTAGGCACAGGCACTGCTGCCCCTGTGGCCAGTGACACTTCAGTGCCTGGAGGTTTGACTGACGTTTGCACGGATGGTGCCAAAGGGCTGAGTGGAAAGGAGAGCCGAGAGGAGTGGAGGAGGGCAGGGAGCAGAGCTGCCTGGACCTGCTCCCTCTGGCTCTTCTCCCCACTGGTGCCTGCCTGCTGCCTCATGGATGCAGGCCGAGCGCACTGGCCCTGCCAGTGAGCGGGGGGACGCTGGCCCAGGATGGCCAGCAGTGTTGACAGCACCCCACAGAGGACAGAGGACCAGAGCAGTGGCTCGAGGCTCCTTTAGTTCCATGGTCTTCTGTGATTCCTTTGTGCATCAGGTATGTATGTTTTGGAGTAGTTTTGCCAACTAAAAGGAAATTATTTGTCAAATTTCAGAATTCTGTACATATGCAAGGAGTTCACCCGCTGCTCTCGTCCTCCAGCAGTGCCCCCTGGCGGCGCGGGGGGGGGGGGGTCTCCAATGTGTCCTTCTCCCCCTGCAGCCCAGTCACACGCACACTCATCACACACAGGAGGGTTCCAGCTCTGTGACGAGCACCACACAGCCAGTTCACCGCTGTCAGCTCCGGTCTCCGTCTTTTCAAAACTGACCTCTGTTTTTAGTAAACTGAACAGCTGTAAGAACAGCTGTATTGCTGGACCCTCGTTTATAAATTATAATTATTTTTGGTCATAGATCAAGTATAAATTAAATCAGAGTGGGATTTAAATTTTAGAAGCAGAAGCTAATATATAAGTGGAGCTTGAACCTTCTGATCACTTAAGAGAAGCGAGTAGCAACTAGATAGCTGCATGGCGCTCCCTCAGCTCAGGTTCCCTGCGTGGCTGGCCCTCCGCCCGCCCGCGGCAGGCATCAGGAGAAAGGTACCGAGAACTGGTCTCACCGCAGACACCAGGCCCTGGTCCTCCACTGGCACGCACGGAGGAAGCTTGCTGGGGTAGCAGCATTCTCATTTCTCCTCTGGCTCAGCCAATACCTGGTCCTTGGCAACTGTTTGCTTTTCTTTCCTGCAGTTTAACCTTTCCTTGGAACAGTAACAGAGCTAACGAGGAAAATGCTTGGACCACAGCTCTAGTGCTTCCAAATAAATGTGTGTCTAGATTTTCAAACAAAGCCCCCAAATGAAGTCTGATTTTGCAAAGATCCCACGTTTTGAGTGTTCTTTCTGTCTTCCCCACTAACTTTCCTCCCCTTCTGCAGCCTGGCCTCCCACACCTCCCACTGTATACTGGCCGTTCTCATCACGTCTGCTTTCCTGGACCGTTAGACCTGCCTTTCAGGCTGATGGACTGCATCCTGCCCTCGAGCGGAAACAGTTCAGTTACCATCAGTCACTTTCTCAGTGAGGAGATTAGAAGCAGTTCCACACGGACAGGCCCGGGCCGGAGGGGGGGGGGGGTGAGAAGGGGCCAGAGTGCTTTCCAGGAGCAGAGAGCTGGCTCCGGTGGGAGCAGCTGCGGCCTGTGCTCCCTCCTGAGGCTCATGAAGTAGGAGAGGACAGTTAGCCAGACACCCACTGGGCTCTCGGGTGCTCTAAAGTGCGACCACTGCCCGAGAAGCGACGTATGTGTACCTTGGTATCAGCTCCCCTGGGCTGCCTGACTTGGCTTTTTGAAACTACACTGCATGGGAGTCACATTTCATAAGTTTTTTACTGATTTTTAAAGAGGGGAAGGGGGGGGGGGGGAGTAGAGAAAGAGAAATATCAGTGAGAAACATTGATCAGCTTCCTCAGGCACTTTCCCTACTAGGGATTGAGCCCACAACCTGGGCATAGGCCCTGACCTCCTGGTACTTGGGTCGACACTCAACTGCCGGGCTGTTTTATGAAATACACCTCCCATGCAGTATAATAAACACGTTTAGACACAGAGGGGAAAGAGTTTTTATTTTGGAGGGGTGAGGGGAACTAATGTGATCGTGGAGGAGGAGAATCTTTTATTTTCAGAAGCTAAAGAAATATGTTCTCTGGGTTTTCTTTCTTTTGTACCCTTTTTTCTTGGCGTTGGTAAGTGCGGCGGGAGCTTCTGCACTTGGGGCGGAAGCGCCTCTGAAAGCAGTGGTGTGTCACTGAGCTGCTAGGCTCTGCCAGCAGTTCTCCCTGGAGGGCACCAAGGCCCGTTGAGAACCGAGTACGAGGGCCTACAGCAGACCAGGAGCAGGGCCTCCATCCCCTCTGTCTCTATAGGACAATTTTTGTTTTGTAAATTGTGTTTCTGATTTTTCAACCCCTTTTCAAAATGTTCTGCAAAATTGTTAAAGAAAAGAGTTCCTTTACTTCATTCCTATGCCTTCTGCACTGGTCCTGCCAGTTTGATGATAAGCTGGTTTGGGAAATGAACCTCCTAGAAGGAAGCTCTGCCTGCCCTTCCAGGGCCGCACCTGCGCGGCTGGGCTGCACAGCCCCCTGGAACGTGCCCCCTGGGTGGTGGGTAACACACCTCTTCCTGCCAGAACCCTTCCCTCGTTCACAAACACAGTCTTGTGCTCTTTAATAGAAATCACTTTGTAAAAACGGCAACTATCTTCAAAAAGACTATTAATAATCATGTATTTTTTACTCATATTTTGAAATACCCAAAAGGCTTTATTGTTCTAATTATCCAGATGTACCTTTGTAAAATAGCTCTTTTATGAATTAGCTGATAAGGCTGTATGTTTCTGGAACAAAATACTGGTCAGCTAAAAACTTTATCTTTTCTGGGGTCTGGGAAAACAGAAAATGAGAGTTCAAATATTAAATATGCCTAAAGGAACCAAATGTGTGACTTTATTTGCGTGTTGTTTTTTTTTTAATGTGTCTCATACAAGTTTCAGAAAAGTTTGTGTGCAAAGGAGGCCTCCATTGATGTTACTGGCAGGGACAACAAACATCTCCCTCCTACTAGAGGTCTTCACTAGTGAGGCTGGCCAGTGACCTTCGATGTGTAAACTTCCACTAGGACACCAGCAGCTGGGCTAGCTCAGCATCTGGGGTGACGGCATGGCTGCTGAGCAGGTCAGTGTTGCTACAGGAGCAGCATGTGGGAGCAGATCTGCTGTGCTGCTGCTGAAGTGTGAAGCATCATGGCTGGGCTAGGGTCAGGCTGACCTGAGTGAATTCCCTTGGGGCCACTCTGCTCTGTTCCCATTGTGTTCTGTTCTGGTCTTGCCTTCTCTTCCTTGCTCAGTCTACATGTCTCTATCAGTCAGTTCAATGTAGGAGAAAGCTTGCAAGTTTCTCCTCTGAATTAAGATTTGTATTAGAAACCCTTGTGTACAAATGGACATGAAGCTCTGGTTTGCCTTTTTTTTTTTTTTCCTATTGTTGTTGTTCTAAATTTGAGCTCAGTTATCCATCATGAGCCCTTTATACTAGGGATCTGTATTCTTGGCATCTATCCATATATGTCATCTGTAATGTGAGGGAATCCTGGGGTGAGGGATGAGGAGAGAGCTGGAGGCAGATTGCCTATCCTGGTTGAATCAGCCATTAAGGAGTTGAGGGGGGCCTGAGGAAGAACGTGGTAGACCTGAAGCAACATTTCCATTCTGCCTTGAGACCAGTATGTGAGAGGCAGAGCAGATGTTTGGCTAAGAGGTGAGGAGAGAGCTGGAGACAAATTACTTATCCCCTTCCCATACACCTTTTGAGGGGTCTTGGGTCAGTGGGGAAGGAAGACCTGGATGAGATGTCTCCGTCCTGGTGCAGGCAGTGTGGGGGGTACAGGGAGTGCCAGCGAGTGTTTGAGAGCCAGAGGGAGTGCCTGGGGGGGAGTGCACTGCAGCCAGCTGGAGTCCGTGAGCACTTTCTCCCGCTGTTTCCAAGGCAGCGCTTCCTCAGGACCAGTTTCCTCCGTGGCATCCTGGTTCCAGTTGGACCCCTTTTCGTGATCACCTCCTCTAGACAGGGTTCAGGAGGGTACCGCTTCCCAGCAGACACATTTCAAAATAGATATGATTTATTGCTTTTTAGGGAGAGGAATAGAGATATAGAAACATCAATGAGAGAGAATCATCAATCAGCTGCCTACTGGGGATCAAGCCCACAACCTGGGCATGTGCCCTGGTTGAGAATCAAAACCATGACCTCCTGGTTCCTAGGTCGACACTCCACCACTGAGTTACACTGGCCAGGCTAAATAGACACGTTAATGGAACAGAATAGGTGTAGTAATCAACCCAAATCCAAAGATAAATTTTGTATGATAAGCATGTCTCCTCAGGTCAGTAGAAGAAATGTGCATTCTATAATAAATGGTGTTGGGACATGAGGCAAGCAGCAGGTCACAGATAAAAGTCTATCTGCAGCCCAAGCATGTTGCTCAGTGGTTAGAGCATTGGCCCTGGGACTGAAGAGACTGGTTCCATTCCTGTGAAGGACACAATTCCTGCTTTGATTGGGCCGAGTGTGGGAGGCAACCAATGGATGTATTTCTCTGTCTCTCCCTCGCCTTCCACTCTATCTAAAAAAAGAAGCCATGGAAAAAAATATCCTTGGGTGAGGATTAATTAAAAAGGCTAGCTACAAGGCTTTCTCTTGAGTGGATGGGTGGGGCCATGTTGGAGTGAGGGCTGGGATTCAGGAGTGGCCTTGCTGTGCACCTGAAGCCAAAAGACTCCCCATGATGTGCCGGGAGAGTGGAATTGAGGCCAGAGGTGAGACATGAGATGAGGCCGGGGGGGGGGGGGGGGGGGGGAGGAGGGTGTGAGGTGAGATGAGACTCATGAGAAATGAGATGAGGAGAGATGAGGAGTGGGGCGTGAGGTGAGTGAGTGTGAGGTGAGGAGTGGGGCGTGAGGTTAGGAGTGAGATGAGGTGAGGAGTGGGGCGTGAGGTGAGGCCAGTGGTGTGAGTTGTGAGGCAAGGTGTTATATTGTCAATCAGCAAGCTAAGTACAAGATGCCTTAACAGGCCAATTAATTAGGAGTCTTTATTACATGTGGGCTCACAGCAGAATATCTCTGTCAAATTCTGAGCCAACACATAGAAGTTTCCCCTACTTACACCTTCCAAGCTCTTCGTCTGAGGATTTTACAAAGAGCCTGTGTGAATTATTTTTCAGACAGCTTGTAACCTTGGATACATAATGAGCAAACACTTAGCATGAGAATATTATCAGTATCAGTATATCAGCCCCCTATGCTAGTTGGCTAACTTGCAAGGTCAGACAATTAAGTTTATCTTTTCTATTATTCAAACTAAAAAAACAAAGTCATTTTACAGGATAAGAGACTGTCTAAAAATGAGTTTACAATGACAGAGTTTACAGAACAAGGTTCTATCTAACAATACCAGAGATTTTCAAAGAGCAGTTTTTATACAAGATGGAGGCTACTGTGCTTTATTCTCCACTAGTTTTATTTAAATGAGTCAAATCATTGACTCTTTTATTTTTTATCAATCTTTATTGTTCATATTGTTACAAAGGTTCCTCATTTCTTCCCCCCTCCACCAGGTTCCCACCTCACCCTCCGCCCCTTCCCCCTCCCCCATTGTCCTCATCCCTAGGTGCAGTTTATGTTCAGTCTCTTCCTCCCTTTCCCCGATAGTAAATCCCTTTTCAGATAGTAAATCAGTTACTTAGCATTTTCTCATATCAATAATGCCACCACATGCCCAATGATACATTTCACACAAAAGACATTTCCAAATAGGTCAACCAGCCTCATCCAGGCCCCACCCAAGGCACTCACAGATCAACACAGATCAACACCCCAGCCCTATACTAACTCAACACATCCAGATCTAAGCCTTCATCACTTGATTCAGCAGACCCTCAAGTTCCCACAAAAGTTTCCAGCCATGTCTGAGAGGCAGCCGTGGGGCAGGGGCAGGCGAGGAGCGAGCTGTTCCGGGCCTGGCTGTTCCGGGCCTGGCCTCTGTTGCTCTGGTTCGTTCCACAACCAGCTGCTCCGGGTCTGGTCACTGCCGCTCCCGACCTAGTTGCTCTGGACCTGGCAGCCGCTGCTCCGGGCCTGGCCGCACCCGACCCGGCTGCTCCGGGCCTGGCCGCTCCCAGCCTGGCAGCCGCTGCTCCGGGCCTGGCCACACCAGACCCGGCTGCTCTGGGCCCGGCTGCCCCGGGCTCGGCCGCTCCGAGCCTGGCCGCTCCCAGCCTGGATGCTCTGGGCTTGGCTACTGCTGTTCTGGACCTGGCTGCTCCCAACCCGGCTGCTCTGGGCCCTGATTCTCCGGGCCCGGCCACTCCGAGTCTGGGTGTTTCTGGCCACCCTGGGCTTGGCTGCCTCCGCCTCAGGCCTGGCTGCCACTGCCCCAGGTCTGGCTGCTCAAGTGCTGGCTGTTGTTGCTCTGGTTCTGGCTGCTGCTGCTCTGGGGCCTGGCCGTTGTTGCTCCGGGCCCGGTTGCCATTGCTTTGTGCCTGGGCACTCTAGGCCTGGCCGCCGCTGTTCCAACATTCTGTCCTATGTTTTTTTTTAAACGCATTTATGTTGCAATGTTGGCTGGTGAGTTGAGTTCTGACTTAGTCTTTGAATTTTCAAGATCTTCTTTGTATTCTTTCTTCAGTAATTTTACTATCTTTTGCTCTCACTTGATTTCTTCACATTGAGAACTTTGGTTTCTTCCTCCTTGTCCTGGAGGCTCAGCAGGTTGGCCTGTGGCACCCCTTTGTTCTCCGCGGGCTCCCGCGCTGCTCCAGCCTGTTGCCTGGGTCGGCGCCGCCCAGGAAGCAGCCCCTGGCCTTGGCTCCATTGCCTGCGCTCAGAGGTCGATGCTCAGGGGCACCCCCTCCCCTGGGGGCCCCGTCGCCCGGCTCCCTGCCGGTGCCCGGCTGGCTGGTGTCCGGCAGGGGCTCCTGCTCCTTGTCGCATTCCTCCAGTCTGGAGCTTTTCTTTTCCTCCTTCCTTCTAGGGGAGTCCAGGATCAGAGTCAACAGACTGTCCTCTGTGCGCAGTGCGCGCGACTCTGGAGGCTCCGCTTTTCGCCACTCCCCTGGGATTCCGCCTCACAGCCCTGTCTCCCCCTGCCCGAGCCTGGGTCCCCAGGGTCTGGTCCAGGACTGGGGTTCAGAGCAGTCTGGACTGAGGCTCAGCACCGCCGGAGGCTTTGTTTCTTCCGGCTAGGGTAATCCAGCATCAAAGTCAACATTCAGTCCTCTGCGCACAATGTGCGCGCGACTCCAGGGGCCCTGCTTTTCTCTGCTCGCTTGGGATTCCGCCTCACAGCCCCGTCTCACCCGCCGGAGCCTGGGTCCCCAGGGTCTGGCTCATAACTGGGGGTCAACGCTGCCAGTTCGGGGGTTTAGCCCAGGCTGGGGGTTTTATTTCCTTCCTGCTAGGGAACGCCAGGCAGCACCCAGCCCTCTCCTCCTCTCCGGCTGCGACCTCTCCGCACACGCGCGTGTGTGTGCGGGCGCGCAGCATGTCTCCGTACATTAGGCTTTTTTTCAGCTCCTCTGATTTTCCTTCTGGTTTTCTCTTTGCTTCTTGTTGTAGAATTTTCAGTCAGTCGACTACCTGTAGCTCTGGGCGATGTCCACTCTACATTTTAGTTGTATTCCATTGAAATTGTTGTGTGCTGCTGCGGTTAGGTGTCTACCCGAGCAGCCATCTTGGATCCTCCTCAAATCATTGACTCTTATGAGCCTTTCTTGGGGAGGAGATTGTATTGGCTTTGCAGACTATGAGCTTGATAGTGTTAATTCTCTGTTGAATAAAGTTAGAAAACCAGTTAATAAGACAGGATTCCAGAATGAGGACCAGGAGTATGTGTGAGTCTTAGCTTCAGTGGGTCTGATGAAGAGTCTTGGATTCT